AGCTCCCCTTTCCCGGAGTCTTAGCTATATATCCGAGCTGGAGGCGGCCAGGGGGTCCCAACGAGCTGCGACCCCAGAGAATCAGTCAGGAGGACAGGGTGAAACCAAATCCGCCCAATAATCGGACCCCAGACCCCTCCTGGGGTCCGCCTGGTGCAGATCTTCACCCCAGATCCGTTTCCGACGGTACCAGCGCCCGAAAACGGCCCCACGAGGTCGAGAGAAACAAGTGGCACGCGCGCCATGGCTCTTGCAAAAAAGGAAGGGGGAGGAGGCGGAGGGGGCGCGCTGGCTGGTGAATGGGGTGATGGAGGGGGCGTTCGGGATGGGGGTGTCGGGGCGGAGGGGGCGCGCTGGCCGGTGGATGGAGGGATGCGGAGGGGGCGCTCGGGGTGGGGGGGGCGGCGCCGTGCCAAGATGAATGGGTCAGGGCGGAGGGGGCGGTACCGCGCCAAAACAAAAGGGGTCGGGGCGGAGGGGGCGCGCTAGCTGAAGGGCGGGGGGGATGCGGAGGGGGCGCTCGCGGAGGAGGCGGTGCCGCGTCGAAATAAAGGAGTCAGGTCGGAGGGGTGTGCCGCGCCGAAATAAAGGGGTCGGGGCGGAGGGGCGCGCTGGCTTGTGAGTGGGTGGGTGGGTGGGGGGGGGCGCAATGCAGGGGTCGGGGCGGAGGGGCGCGATGGCTGGCGGGTGGGGGGCTGCGGAGGGGGCGCGCAGGGCGCGCGGGGAGGGAGTGGGGGCCGTGCCGAAATAAAGAGGTAGCGGGGCGGAGGGGGCGCCCTGGCTGGTAAGTGGGGAAATGCGGGGAGGTGCGCCGTGCCGAAATCAAGGGGTCGGGGCGGAGGGGCGCGCTGGCTGGTGGGTGGGGGAATGCTGAGGGGCGTGCCGTGCCGAAATCAAGGTCGTCGGGGCGGAGGAGTGTGCCGGGCCGAGATAAAGGGGTCGGGGCGGAGGGACGCGTTGGCTGGTGAGCGGGGGGGATGCGGAGAGGGTGTGCCGTGCCAAAATAAAGGTGTCGGGGCGGAGGGGTGTGCCGTGCCGAGATAAAGGGGGGAAGGCGGAGGGACGCGCTGACTGGTGAGCGGGGGGGATGCGGAGCGGTGTGCCATGTCGGAAAAAAAGGGGTCGGGGCGGAGGGGTGTGCCGTGCCGAAACAAAGGGGTAGGGGCGGAGGGGCGCGCTGGCTGGTGGGTGGGGGGGATGCGGAGGGGGTGCGCCGTGCCGACATAAAGGCGTCGGGGCGGAGGGGTGTGCCGTGCCGAAACAAAAGGGGTTGTGCGGAGGGGGCGCGCGGGGGGGGAGGGGGGGCGTGCCGAAATACAGGAGTCGGGGCGGAAGGGGTGCGCTGGCTGGTGGGGTGGTGGGATGCAAGGGGGGGCGTGCCGAAATACAAGAGTCGGGGCAGGGGGGCGCGCTGGCTGGTGGGCGGGGGGATGCGGCGGAGGGGGTGTGCCGTACCGAAATAAAGTGGTCGGGGTGGAAGGGTGTGCCGTGCCGACGTAAAAGGGTCGGGACGGAGGGACGCGCTGGCTGGCGGGCGCGCGGGGGTGGGGGGGGGGCGTGCCGAAAGAAAGGGGTGGGCGGAGGGGGCGCGCTGGTTGGTGGGTGGGGGGCTGCGGGGGGGGGGGGGCGGCGTGCCGAAATAAAGGGGTCGGGCGGAGGGGCGCGCTGGCTGGAGGGTGGGGGATGCGGAGGCGGTGTGCCGTGCCGAAGTAAAGGACCGGGGCGGAGGGGTGCGCCGTGCCGAAATAAAGGGGTCGGGGCGGAGGGGCGCGCTGGCTGTTGGTGTGGGGGGGATGCGGAGGGGGCGTGCCGTGTCGAAATAAAGGTGTCGGGGCGGAGGGGTGTGCCGTGCCGAAATAAAGGGGTCGGTCGGAGGGGCGCGCTGGCTGGTGGGTGGGGGGGATGCGGAGGGGGCGTGCCGTGTCGAAATAAAAGTGTCGGGGCGGAGGGGTGTGCCGTGCCGAAAAAAGAGGTCGGGCGGAGGGGCGCGCTGGCTGGTGGGTGGGGGGGATGCGGAGGGGGTGTGGAGGGGGTGTGCCGTGCCGAAATAAAAGGGTCGGGGCGGAGGGGTGCGCCGTGCCGAAATAAAGGGGTCGGGGCGGAGGGGCGCGCTGGCTGGTGGAATGTGTGGGTGATGGAGGGGGGGCCGTGCCGAAATAAAGTGGTCGGAGCTCTAGGCACCCTGTGCAAGAGAATAAAAACCTTGGTCCAACCCAGCACCTCGAATCTGGAGGCCGCCTAGATGGGGTCGGAGTAGATGGGGTCGGAGGATCGCGCCGCAGCGCCGATACATGCATCGCGATGCATCGGCGATGCATCGGCGACGTCGGCGACGCAATGGCGACGTCGGCGTTGAGAACATCGGGTTCCACAACGAATCGCATCAGCGATGCATCGGCGATGCGGCGCGATCCCCCGACCCCATCTACTCGGACCCCATCTATGAGTATCGTTTAACCGATCCCCATCCCCAGCGGCGTGGCCTGGGCCCCACTGGCCGGCCGATTTACCCCCCTAGATGAGGATATAGTCGTTCCCTTCGGGTTTCGAGGGGTGTATCCCCAACTGGGGTGGTAATTTGGTGGGGGTCTCGAAGGGGATGGGGATGGGGATGGGGATTGGATAAACGATACCGAATCTAGGAGGCCTAGAGATTCTGCCTCCCCCCCCTGCTCACCATCACCAGGGGCTGCGGGCGCGCGGGCTGGTTCTGGCGGGGCGCGGCGATCGCGCGGGGCGCGGAGACGGCTCGAGAAGGCGGCCGCGGAGAAGGGCGGCGGACAGCCGAGGCTCGGCGCGCGAGGGGCGCGCGGGTGGCCCCGGGTGGGACGCAGAGACACGCTGATACCAGACGTCCTCTCGGGGACGGACAGACCTCCCTTTAGTAAAACGTGGTTTGGTGAAAACGACCTCGGGCCCAAACCTGGCGGGCGCAAGCCTGGAAAATGACGGCCGCGGCGCCCTCTCGAGAACCGAAAACGGACAATTCACTAATCGACGTGTCAGGGTAGGAGGTCTGTCCACCCCCGAGTCCTCCTTTGAGGCGCGCGTCCGACCCAAACATATACAAGGAGCCCACAGAGGACGTGCGCGCCCAGCTATGTGCATGAACGCGGCCCCTCGATCCGCGAGACTGGCCGCGTGATACGAACATTCGGGCGATATGTACTCTCGAAACCAGCGTGGATTCATGTACGTGCACGTCCTTCTTTCGCTCCTGAATACAGTATACCAATATTGTAGTATAGCGTTTCGCGAGCAGCATATCGTTTCGCGAGCGGTGCGGCCAGAAAGCGCCCGCCACGGCGCATATGCCACAAGAGTTCTCGATGCGCGCGTCGCCCCCTTTGGGGGGGCGATGCACATATAGTATAAATATGTCGGGGTGACGCCGATCAGACACCGGGGACCCGGTGTGAAAGGCAAGCGCAGGAGGCACAAGATCAGCGCCCCTCTAACAGGGACTCCACTGACGGGTCCTTTGGCCAGTGACCCGGCGGACCCAACCCTTGCCGACGTGGGCAACCGTGCAATGCCAGCAGGAGGCCCGAAAAAGGCAACGTTCGGCGAAATTTCGCGAGTACCCGTTAGTGGATACCCGCTACGGTGCCGCTGACAGGAGCAGGCCGACGAGGGAGAGCCGGCGGGCGGTGATAACTGACCAGCAGGTCGCTGGAGGCAAAAGTCGATCGCGTCACACACGGAACCAGCATCCCCGCCGCCTGCCTCGGCATGGCGCCAGTGCGGACAGGCGCCACCGCGAGCTGCAGCAAGGATGGCCTCATGCTACTGGGCGTCTGCAGGCGGTATTCGAGGTCGCATCTGTCGGATGCGTTCTCGAGGCTCCCAGGATCCAACCAGACCTGGGGCATAGGCTCTTGAAGGCGCTTTTCTTTTCTTTCGGAATTCCGCTGGCACCACAGTGCGCGTGCTTGGTGAACGACTGCGTCGGAGGAGCGGGAACATGAGGGGGAAGAGGGAGCGCAAGAAAGACAGGGGCAAGGAAGGAACACGCAGGGAAATGGCCGCACCTCGCTTCATAATGAAATCGAGGATCCACGACTCTTTCCGCAGGCGTTCGGGCGGTTTCAAAGTATCCACAGTTGAAGACGCTCCATCTTCCAAGACTCCCCCACACTCCACCCCTGGCCTAGCGAAGCCTCGTTGGGGGCCTCTTGGAACATATTGGGGGCTGGTGGAAGGCCTCGTAGGGACCTCTCGGGAGCATCTTGGGAGCATCTTGGAGGCCTCCTGGGACATCCTAGGGTCGTCACAGGGCCTCCGAGTCGCCCAGGACGCTGGACATGCACGCACGCGTTGTCGAAATTTGGGAGGTCTCGGATACCTCCTGGGGCCCTGATGTGGCTCTCAGGGGCCCTCTTGAGGTCATCTTGAAGCATCACGCGCCCTTCCAGAACAGAACATCGTCGAAGGCGAGAAGCAATGACGTTCCTCCTGTGCTTGAAGAACTTAGGTCTCATGGGAGCCCTGTTGGCGGCGTCATGGGACAAAGGAAGAGGGAGGGTGGAAAGAGGGAGGAAGGGGGAGGATGGAGAAGGGGGGAGAAGAGAAAGGAGGAGGTAGAGGAGGGAGGGGGTGAGCGAGTCCTGGCAGGCAAGAACATCCTCTGTGTGTCGATGCTGAACTGCAGCTCGAGGTTGCGCGGGCCATTTGGGGATACACGCGCACGCGAAGACCACGCAGTGGGCACGGATGACGGAGGAAGGCGCCAGACACCACTGAAAAGGGCAGTGCCCCCGTCTCATTCCTGCCTCCCCGTCCATCCGTCCCTTCCACCCTCCCGTCGTCATCCCTCATCCCTCCCATCTTCCTCCCCCTCCTCCTCCTCCTCCTCCTCCTCCTCCTCCTCCTCCTCCTCCTCCTCCTCCTCCTCCTCCTCCCCCTTCCCGTCTTCATCTCAACATCCTCCACATCCTCCCCCCTGCCCCCCGTTCCCGCCCCCGCTCCCTCGCTCCCCTCCGAGGGACGCGCTGCGGAGCCTGTGCCGAGGCAGAGGCAGCTGCCTCGCGTACACGAGGTGCTCCTCCAACCCGACGTGGTACTCGATGCGGGTGCCGCCGGAGAGGGCCTCCAACACGTTCTTCCTCATGCGGCGCGTGGCCGCATCGAGCTCGTTCGCCCCGAAGCCAGGTCTCAGGTGGGAGTGGCGCAGGTCTGTCTGGGGGCCAAAGACCGCGACCGTGCTCGCCAGGTGCGCGTTGGAGAGGGCGCCGAAGCCGCCCATTGAGGTCCCGACGAACATCACCCGCCGGTACCGCCTTGGGTGGCCGTGGGAGCCTCCCATGCCGTCTTGCTGGCTCTTGCGAATCGATGCCTAACAACGCTAATCGATGCTAATCCACGCTAACCGACACTAAATCGAGGCTGGTCGACGCTAACCCACGCTAAATTGACGCTACTCGGCACTATATCGGCGCTTGCTCATCGATCACCAGAAGCTAGCGCACGCTAATGCACTCTAAAGATGGACTTGCGAGGACATACAAGGCTCCCATGAGTAACCAGCCTCGAGCTTATCCCTATCCCTCAGATCGACAAGCCCAAAAGCGACGACAATCGTAAGGATGCGCCCTCAGAAACTGAAGGAATCCTTAAGATCGGCATCTAGAGCAGGTGATGCCAATTATAGTAGGTAGACTGGCAAATGAGTTGCTACCGAATACCGCCTGCAGATCTCCCCGAGCTTGGCCTCCACCCCGAGCGCCAGGTGGTCCGTGTCCGCGTACCTGGAGGCCTCCCAAATCCGGTCCGAGTACGGCAGGTTCGTGTCGGGACGACCCCAGCGTTGGTTTCCGACACCGCGTGGATCGTTCAAACTTGAAGGATCGGCGACTGTTCGGTCGCCAGATCGTTCCTGTTAGCCGATTCTGAACAACACGCGGCGTTCAATCTTGAACGCCCGCGGTAGTGTCGCCGCCGCGTCGACACGACACGGACCTACCGTAGATGGGGGCTGGAGGATCGCGCCGCATCGCCGATGCATCGGCGAAGCATCGGCGATACACTGGAGACGTCGGCGATGCATCGGCGCGGTCGGCGTGGAGAACTTCTGGCTCCGCATCGCGCCGCATCGCCAATGTATCGGCGATGCGGCCAGATCCTTTGACCATCTGCTCGGATCCCATGTGGGGGGCCTAGAGCAGGGCGGCGGGAAGCTTGCTGAGGCACGAGGGCGTACACACCGCTCCTGGTCCCGGGGGGTGGGCCGGGCCTGGGCCAGGAAATGTGTACATAGATGTACCGTATTTATATAGACATACATGTACAAACATGTGAATGTACATCTATATACACATAGAAAAACAGTTCTATCTATAGAGAGAGAAAGAGAAATAAACATAGATGTATATATATATATATATGATCGCGGGCTCCGGGTCCTCGGGCCCCCCCGCCCCCCCAAGATGGGCTGGGTCCCAGGATTCTCGGCCCCCCCCCCGGATGGGATGGGGGGTGGAGGAGGAGGAGGAGGAGGAGGAGGAGGAGGAGGAGGACGACGACGACGACGACGACCACGACGGCGATGACGACGACGACGACGACGACGACGACGACGACGACGACGACGACGACGACGACACCGACACCGACAACGACGACGACGACGACGACGACGACGACGACGACGACGACGACGACGACGACGACGACGACATCGACGACGACAACGACGACGACGTCGATGGCACCACCAGCGGCGGCGACGACGTCGAGCACCGGAGCTGTCAACATGACGCCAATCCCAGCCACACGCCGCACCCACACCGCACCCACAGGGGGGAGGGAGAGGGGGAGGAGGACCATGGCGTCACCCCGCACACACCTACAGCAACACACCACACCGACACCACATCCACGGGGGGGGGGAGCCACCAAGCCACGCCCACGCCCACAGGGGGGGCGGGGGGGCATCGCGCGGGGGGGGGGGCCCGATGGCATTAGCATTGGGGGGGGGCCCAAACCCTCGACCATATATGTGTCCCGTCGCCCCACAGAGCACCACTGGGCGTTCGTCTCGCACAGGGACAGCACGTCGAAGTCCCGCAGCGGCGGGCGCGCCTCCCCGGCCGCCTGCGCGCCCGCGGCGGGCCTCGCCCACAGCGCGCCGCCCGCGCGCCCGGCGGCGTGCGGGCCCTCGAAGGCCACGGGCCCGCCGTGGACCTCTGCGTAGAGGTCCGCGAAAGACCTTCGGGGCGCTCGGAACGGCTGCGGGAGGCGACGGGTTCCGGCAGGTCGTCGGCCTTTTTTTTTGTTGAGAGGGGGGGGGGGAGCAAACAAGCAGGGGAGAAGGTCGTCAGCCTTTCTGCACCTCCGGGGACCGCTTGCGGCTCCCGTGTAGAAACGGAGCCGGGGTGGAAAAAACTCCACCAAGTGGACCCCAGAGGAGGGTCCTGGGGACCGATCTTGAGCGGAATCGCCCTTCTGCCCCCTTCTTGACAACTCTTCTCGGGGCAATCCAAGTCAAACCCCTGGCCGCCTCCAGACGCGCAGGATGGGCGCTCAGAGACCGACAGCAGTTCCTGCTCATCCCGAGCAGGACCGGCTGTCGGCGTCGCCGCAGGCGCTGTGCACTTGAGACAGCAGGCCGCCTGCCCCACGGCGGCCCGCCGCTGGTCTGGGACAGCACTTGCTGTTGGGCTTCGGCATCGGGGGGGAGGAGGCAGGAGGAGGAGGAAGGAGGAGGAGGAGGAGGAGGAGGAGGAGGAGGAGGAGGAGGAGGAGGAGGGAGGAGGAGGGGGGGGGGCACAAATCATGGCACGGGACAGGTGCGCGGACGAGGGGGGGACATGACGCATCCACACGTACCCTAGTCATTAACCCCCCCTTGGCAGGAGAGCCCAAAATCGAAACGATGAGTCGGAGCGGCGATCGAAAGGAATCGGATCGGCGGAAGTCGACAGCCCAGTCGGGAGAAGTCGAAGCGGCGGAAACCGGCAGGCTATCAAGGGCCTCCTCCACTGAGAAGCCGAGATCCGAATCGGAATCCGAAGTCGAATCGCATCGGGATCCGAATCGATCGAAATCGAATCGAATCGAGCCGAAGAGGAGTGGAAACGAGCCCTGCCTCTTGGCCGCCCAGGAGGACCGGTCTGGGCCGCGCAGCACCCGGTCCTGCGCCCGCGAGCCCGCCCCGAGCACCTGCCCCAGGCAGCCGAACCACTCCGGCTCGCCCTGGCTCGCCGCGAAGGCCACCACCAGGAGGTCGCCCCCGTAGGCGGGCTGCGGCGAGCACAGCGGAGGGACGCCTTGAGCATCGCCGAACCGATCCATGCCCATGTTTTTGGTGGTTTGGTTCCGTGGGGCCCCGGCCGCGGCAGTGGGGGTCTGGCACGCCCCCACTGGCGCGGCCGGGGCCCCAGTGGCCGACTGAGCCCCCCAGGCGGGGACGCCTCCCCTCGGGCTTCGAGGGGCCTGTGCCCCCAACTGGGGCGGTGGGCCGGCGGGGCGGGAAAAAAATACCACGTCCGGGTGGGGGCGGGGATGAGGGGCAACGATAGGGGGGGATAGGCACAGGGGGGGATGTATCGACCTGGAATCGGCGATACACCGTCGCTGGATCGGCGATGGGGCCGCCGATTGTGAAGCCGCACCTTCCTGGGCGGGGTGGGCTGTCGGGTCCCCTGTCGGCGATCCGTGGGCGATGGGGGGTCGAGGCATTCCCCCCCCATGCCCATCCCCCCCCCTATCGTTGCCCCCGAGGGGACGGATTGAGACCGATACTGACGCCTGCGGGCCGCTTGAGCTGCGAGGCGGGCAGGAGCTTGGCGTAGAGCCTGGGCCAGGGCAGCATCCAGCCGGACGTGGCGCACGCCGGCAGGCAGGGAGGCGCCGGCTGCCCCGCCGCCTCGTGCGCGGCGGCGAGGCTGCAGACCTGGCTGGCGTCTATGCCGAAGGTCCGCAGGCTGCTGGGCACGTCCTGGAACAGGTCCTCCATTGTCGCCGCGCTGAGGGGATTGTCCTCGCACCCGCCCCTGTTCTCTGACTCCCTGTCCCTATGGCTCTCTGTCTGTCTCTCTCTCTCTCTCTCTCTCTGTGTGTGTATTTGTTATGCGTATATATATATATATATATATACTAGAACCATCGCGCGCGCTTCGCGCGCGCTGAAGTTCTAGCTGGGCTGGATGGTCGAACTCTTAGGGCTTCCTGTTGGGCTTCCGGGAGCCCAGGGCTGGAAATGTTCGTTCGGCCCCCGACTGGACCGCTGGGCTCTTGAGGCCTCTTTGTGGCCTCCTGGATGCTGCTTGAGGCAGCTTGGGGGCCTCTTGGGGGCCTCTTGGGCTCTCTGGGGGGCCTCTTGGGCTCTCTTGGGGGCCTCTTGGGGCTTCCTCGGAGCATCCTGGACCGCTTTTAAAGTTGTCATGGGACCTTCTTGGCATGTCTTTGAGGGCCTCTTAGAAAGAGTTTTGAAGCCTTTTGGTTGCCGTCTTGGGGCCTCTTGGGGCCTCTTGGAGCCTCTGTTGGGCTTCTTGGGGGCCTCTTGGGGCCTCTGGGGGGCATCTCGGGGCTTCCCGGGGGCCTCTTGGGGCCTCTTGGGGGCATCTTGGGGCGGAGAGTTTGATTTTTCAGTTCGCGTTCCCTCTCTTGTGCACCTCTTGGGGCCTTCTTGGGACCCTCTTGCGCCGTCTTGGGCGGCTCTGGGGCCGTCTCGGGGCTCTCTTGGGCCGTCCTGGGGCCCTCTTGGGGGCCTCTTGGGGCCTCTTGGGGGCCTCTCGGTGCCTCTTGGGGGCTTCCCGGGGGCCTCGTGGGGCCTCTTGGGGGCATCTTGGGGCGGAGAGCTTGATTTTTCAATTCGCGTTCCCTCTCTTGGGCCCCTCTTGGGGCCTTCTTGGGACCCTCTTGCGCCGTCTTGGGCGGCTCTGGGGCCGTCTCAGGGCTCTCTTGGGCCGTCTTGAAGCCTCCTGGGGGGCCCCTTGGCCCGTCTTGGAGCGGTTTGGGAGCCTCTTGGGCGGTGCTTTAGCGCCGGAAACACGAAACAGCGAGAATGTAAAAAAAATGAAAAAATGCAAATCAATGATTTTGCCCTCTCCGGGCGCTCTTGGGCGGCATCTCAAAGGCCTCTTGTGGCGTCTTGGGGGCCTCCGGGGCAGTTTAAAACGCATCGTGCGACCTCTTGGGGGCCTCTTGAGGGCATCCTGGGGGCCTCTTGGGGCCTTTGGGGGCCTCTTGGGGGCATCTTGAGGCGGAGAGCTTGATTTTTCAATTCGCGTTCCCTCTCTTGGGACCCTCTTGGGACCCTCTTGCGCCGTCTGGGGCGGCTCTGGGGCCGTCTCGGGGCTCTCTTGGGCCGTCTTGGAGCCTTCTTGGGGGCGTCTTGGCCCGTCTTGAAGCGGTTTGGGGAGCCTCTTGGGCGGTGCTTTAGCGTCGGAAACACAAAACAGCGAGAATGCAAAAGAAAAACATTGAAAAATGCAAATCAACGATTTTGCCCTCTCCGGAGCGCTCTTGGGCGGCATCTTAAAGGCCTCTTGGGGCGTCTTGGGGGCCTCCGCGGCAGTTTAAAACGCATCGTGCGACATCTTGGGGGCCTCGTGGGGCCTCTTGGGGGCTTCCTGGGTGCCTCTTGGGGGCATCTCGGGGTGGAGAGCTTGATGGGCGGCTCTGGGGCCGTCTCGGGGCTCTCTTGGGCCGTCTTGGGACCCTCTTGGGGGCCTCTTGGGCCGTCTTGGAACGGTTTGGGGAGTCTCTTGGGCGGTGCTTTAGCGCCGGAAACACGAAACAGCGAGAATGCAAAAAAAACATTGAAAAAATGCAAATCAACGATTTTGCCCTCTCTGGGCGCTCTTGGGCACCATCTTACAGGCCTCTTGTTCGGGGATCTTCTGACCCGGGTCAATCCAGACCCGGGTCAGCAGGAAACCAAAAAACTGTAATGCAGGAACAAAAAAACTGCAACGCAGATCTTCGCAAACCCGGGTCAGCCAATACGCGCGGCCGCCCTGCGGCCACGAGCGGCTCCCTAACCCGGGTCAGCCAGAGGGGGTCTTCGCAGGATCCTGCAGGATCCGGCGTCCTGGCTGACCCCCGTCTGCATTGACCCCCGTCTCGAGGCTCCCGACTTGTGGCGACGTAGGGGCCTCCGGGCCATTTTAAAACGCGTCGTGCGGCCTCTTGGGGGCCGTGTGGGGCCTCTTGGGGGCTTCCTGGGGGCCTCTCGGGGCGTCTTGGGGGTATCTTGGGGCGGAGAGCTTGATTTTTCAGTTCGCGTTCCCTCTCTTGGGCCCCTCTTGGGGCCTTCTTGGGACCCTCTTGCGCCGTCTTGGGCGTCTCTGGGGCCATCTCGGGGCTCTCTTGGGCCGTCTTGGGGGCCTTTTGGGGGCCTCTTGGGCCGTCTTGGAGCGGTTTTGGGAGCCTCTCGAGCGGTGCTTTAGTGCCGGAAACACGAAACAGCGAATGCAAAAAATAGTGGCAAAATCATAAAAATCAACCGTTTTGTCCTCTCGGAGCGCTCTTGGGCGGCATCTTAAAGGCCTCTCGGGGCGTCTTGGGGGCCTCCGGGCCAATTAAAACGTACCGTGCGTCGCCAAAGACCCCTGGACGGCGTCTTGGGGGTGTCTCGAGACCGTCTGGGGCCGCCGGGATTGCTGTCTGAGGGCTCCCCGGGGCGATTTTAGGCCTCCCAAAGGCGGGCCAGCGCGCCGGGCACCACGCGCGCGCTTCACGCACTTTGATTCTAGCGTGTCGCAGACACAGGAATCGCTGTGCAAAAAAAATCTTTGGAGCTCGTCTCAGGCAAGTGAGGACTCCAGTGGCAACACCTGCTTGAGGCACCGCTGGGGACGGACCCTGTGTAGAGTGTGGAAAGTCGGACCAGCTCTCTGGTCGATCCTGTGAGGCGCGCCCTGGGGCTCTCTTGGGCCGCTTTGGGGGGCCCATTGGGGGGTTGTTTCGGAGCCTCTTTTGGTGTTTTTAAAAATCTTTTGGGGGCCTCTCGGGGCTTCCTGGGCGCTTCTTGGAACTTAAGTTTCCTGGGAGCCTCTTGGGCCAAAACGCTCGAATCTTCGGTTCCTCGTCCCCGTCTTGGGCGCCGACTCGGTAGTTTGGGCGCCTCGGGGGCCGTCTTGGCTCCCTCGTGGGCCGTCTTGGAGCCCTCTGGGGGGCATCCTCGACCGGCTTGGGTACCTCTTGGGCCGTCTTGGACGCAGTGGAAGCCCAAAAGACGAACACGCCAAGAATATAAGTTGTCCTATAGGAAATCAACGGCTTTTGCTGATTGGGGCTCTATTGGGGTGCCCCTTGTGGCGTGTTCGGGGCCTCTTTGTGTGTTTTTGCGGGTCTCTTGGGGACCTCTTGGGGCTTCTTGGGCGCTTCTTGGAGCCTCATGGGGCCCTTTGGGGGCCTCTTGGGCCAAAACGCTTGCATTTTCGGTTCCTCGTCCCCGTCTTGGGCGCCGACTTGGGGCGTTGTTGAGCGGTTTGGGCGTCTCGTGGGCCTTCTTGGCCCCCTCGTGGGCCGTAGTGGAGCCCTCGTGGGGGCATCCTCGACCGTCTTGGGTGCCTCTTGGGCCGTCTTGGACGCAGTGGAAGCCCAAAAGGCGAACATGCCAAGAATATCAGTTTTCCTGTTGGAAATCGGCGATGTTTGCTTTTGGGGGGCTCTATTGGGGTGCCTGTTGGGAGCCTCCCAGGGGTCTGTTGGGGGCCTCTTGGGGCCTCTGGGGGGCCTCTTGGGGCCTATGGGGGGCCTTTGGGGGCCTCCTGGGAGCCTCTGGGGCCGAAAGCTCGGAATTTGAATATGGTCGTGCACCTCTGGGACCCCTCTGGGGCTCGTCCTCGGGCTCTCTTGGGCTGTTTTGGGGGCCTCTCGGGCCGTCTTGGTCCCCTCCCTCTTGGGGTCGTCTTGGAGCCCTCTTGGGAGCCTGTGGGGCAGTTTGGGGGGCCTCTCTTGGGCCGTCTTGGACGCAGTGGAAGCCCAAAAGGCGAACACGCCAAAAGTATCAGTTTTCCCATAGGAAATCTGCGATTGTTGCTTATTGGGGCTCTCTCGGGGTGCCTCTTGGGGCGTCTTCGAGGCCTTCGGGGGCCTTCTTGGCGTCATGAGAATCGTATTGAAAGGCGTCTGGAGCCATCGCTGCGGCCTCCTAGGGCCTCCCTGCAGCCTCGTGGGGCACTGTTGACCCTGGGTCGCCGAACCCCCGTAAAAACTCACGAAAAAAAACGCCTGGGCCCCGCATTTGCGATCGGGGCGCTGGCCGACCCGGTCCCCCGTTATATGTCTATGAATATGCATCTGTACATGCATTTGTATGTTTATATGTAAATGTATATGTATATTATATGTATATGGATATGTATACGCATGTATATGTATGTGTAAATGTATGTGTATATGCATATGCATATGCATATGCATATGTATATGTATATGTATGTGTATATGTATGTGTATATGTATATGTATATGTATATGTATATGTACATGTATATGTATATGTATATGTATGTGTATATGTATATGGTTATGTATATGTATATGTATGTGCATATGCATATGTATATGCATATGTATATGTATATGTATATGTATATGTATATGTATATGTATACGTATATGTATACGTGTATGTATATGTGTATGTATGTGTATATGTATGTGTATATGTATATGGATATGCATATGTATATGTATATGTTTATGTATATGTATATGGATATGCATATGTACATGTATATGTATATGTATATGCATATGTATGTGTATATGTATACGTATATGTATATGTGTGTACATGTATATGTATACGTATATGTATATTATGTGTATGTGTATATGTATATGTATATGTCTATGGATATGTATATGTATGTACATATCTGTATATGAATAGATATATATATATACACACCAGACTGCATTGGCGCTGCGCGCAATGCACCTTGGTCGTTTGACTTCTGCACGCAAGCGGAATGCGTGCGTGCGTACATGCGCGCATGCATGTATACACGCGAACGTGCATGC